TTAAATACCAGATTCATTTTCTGCCCTACAATTTGGGAGGTATGACAGCATTTTAATCAAAACCACTCAGAACTTTGACAAGCCTGAGAGAATTGCAACTATTACTGATACACTATCAGCACACAATGATCAGCAATTCCCAAGTGATTTCCAGGAGAGCTATTTCTTTCTGCAGGGAGAAACACTGCTTTTGAAACCAGAGAGAGGGAAAGAGGGTTTAATATTTTGGTTAGAGTATTTTTTTTTGTCAGTCATGGGGCTTGATGCTATCCCTGCACTCTTCAGCTCAAGGCAAGTACTCTACCACTTGAGCCACAGCGCCACTTCTAGTTTTCTAGTGGTTTATTGGAGATAAGAGTCTCACGGACTTTTCTGCCCGGGCTGGCTTTGAACTGCAATCCTCACCTCCTGAGTAGCTAGGATTACAGGTGTGAGCCACCGGCGCCCGGCTGGTCGGAGTATTTTTAAATGGCAGAGGAAAACATTGAACTCCTTTAAGTCATTGAATAAATTTCAGGAGAACAGAATTGAAGTTAAGGTTACTGTCTAGTGAAAATATTAGGTTACTCAAAAGTAAATCCAACATAAATATCTAAAACCAAGAAGAATGGGGAATTTAGCATTTATTCATCTATGTGAGAAGCTAGACATCACCGTATGATTAGAAGATCTCATATGAGAATCACTGTGGTATCATAGTAATGAAACAAAATATTTTGACTATATTTGATGAAACCTCAATGTTAGGAGCCAGTGTCATGAGCCTTTGCACTTTGGTTCTCTCGTTTCCTAAGCAAATCTAGAGCTTGGAAGACAGGGTGATTTTGGAAACCTCTAAGACACACTCTACCTCTAAAACTGGACTTATTTGGAAAAATACAATATTTAGTAGAATTATTGTGCACATTTCTGGCATTTGTTTTATTATAAAAAGGTGCTATGAACTTTTATATGTAGGTTCTATGAAACAGAAAGGAATGGTTTGTTTAGAAAGTCTATGACAATCAAAAATATCTTGAGATTGTCACTAGACTTTCATATATATTTATGATTTGCTTTTCCTTGTTTTTTTAATGTCTAGTTATCCATGTGTTTCTCAGGATGGAGAGAGAAATACCTTTGGGGGATATTGAAATATTGCAACCTGGATTACTGTGGTGTGATGATGGTGTTAGTTTTTCCAGACCGATCACCATCACCGATCACCATCACATTAGAACCATTCATGGAACATACTGGAACCTGGCAGTTGAGCTTGTAGTACTAAAAGGGAATTTGTGTCCTGAGAATCTTAGAACCTATAATCACTTACCCTTTCTTCTTCCCAACCATCAAACAGTGTTAATGGGGTGAACTCAAATTTCCCTTACTTTTGCTTCCATTTAATTTTTCTTTCTTTTTTGGCAGGCTTGAACTCAGAGACTCATGTTCTTTTTTTGGCCAGTCCTGAGGCTTGACCTCAGGGCCTGGGCACTGTCCCTGAGCTTCTTTTGCTGAAGGTTAGCACTCTACCAATTGAGCCACAGCGCCACTAGTAATAATTAGTATATGTCTAGGATAGTCCTAGCAGAGGATCACAATAGTTCAGTAGCTAAGTACATATGACTATATAAAGTGATGCTAATTGAAATGAACTCCAAGATATGGAAACAAGAGTTGTTTTGTTTTTAAATTCATGTACTGTGTGAAGTTATTTCTTTTTGGTTTATCACCTGTTGCCACAGTTGGTTTTTGTTTTGTTTTTGTTTTTGTACCCTGTGTCTTATATATACCTCTTTTCTGACTTAAGGAAGAGAAGGGGAATAACCAAATGGTGAGAAAGGGCAAAGGGTGAACCAAAGCAACAGTGGTACTCACAAGATACTATGTTGGAAAAAAAACAACTTTGTAACTTGGAGGGTGGAGTGGAGGGGAGTAAGAGAGTGGGAAAGTGGGAGAAAATGAGGGAGGGGTAAAATTATTTTAATTATGTAACTAACCCCTCTGTACATCACCTTTGCAATGAAATAAAATATTAAAAAGAGTTAGTTTTAACTGTTTAAAATGCTCTCTATCTATTCATATGCCACATTTTCAGTGGATGCTTTGGGATGAAGATTTGGACTTGTTCTGTTGTAATTCTGCCTTAAAACTCAAGAATTCATTCCCTTTGAATGAACTGACATCCATAATACCTTAGATGTTTAAGTACATATGCAGTATCATATCATCATTTATGCAAGTGGAAGATTTCCAAGAGGGAAATATAGTGATTGAAGATAGTCACTCAATTAATAAATAAAACAATTATACTATTCAATGGCCTTTTTCAAATATCACCCAAATTTCTTTGCATAGAGTCCTTTCCATTGTGTTAAATATCACAGCCATAGAGGTAGGGCAATATAGGAACAATAAAGATATGTGTAGATTGTGAAGAAAGGAGAAAACAATTAATTTTTGTGACTTTAATAGAATATGGTTGAACAATTTTTCATTTGGATGGTCTTTAGCTAATGGCTATTTTTCTTGACAAGAAAGCTGGAATTACAAAACTGTAAATCAGGCCATCTATAATCAGATTTCAGGGATCTGTAAATCACTTATTCATTTGCTGGTGTAAAAGCAGATTAGTTAAATCAAGAATTTTTTACTCCTTTGTGCTGTATGTTTCCCATTTTTTGAAAAGTCAGTAAAGCAACACATTCCCATTTCATTAAGTTAAAATATGAAGACCTATCTATAGCAAATATCTTCAGTTTCCTTTACTTTATATTTCTGTATATAAATATATAGATGAGTAATTCTCAAGATTTATTTCCATTTCCATATGGGCATCATTGTATCCTATTAATGTTGATATTCTGCAAATCATTGTGAAAACTGGCATGCTATGTTCACAGCAGGAATGAGCTTAATTGTTATATTTATGAATTAAAGATGAACATTTTATATGTAAAAAAATTGGCTTTTTAATTCTCTTCCCACCCCCAGTACTGGGAATTAAACCCAGGGCTTCCTAGCAAGTGCTCTACTAGCTTGGACTATTTCCCTAACTTAGCTTGCTGCTTTCACAATTTGAAATCACAAAATAAGAATTGGGTTCATTTAAGCACTTCCCAGATTTAAAAATATTCCACATGCATGATGAATTTCTTTTTTTATTTAATAAGTTTTTTTATTGTGAGAATACTGTACAGTGGAGGGGTTACAGTTACATGAGTACAGTAATGAGTACATTTCTTATTAAGCATTGTTAAGCATTGTTGTCTCCTCCTTTGTTTTTCCCCTACCATCCCTTCCATCTCATCTCCACAACTATACTCTCCCCTGCACCCCCAACATAGTGTCTTGTACATCCCATTGTTGCAATGGGTCAACCTGTATCCCTATTTAAAAATCTGTTTTTTCCCTTCCCCTCCCCAAATTATACCAACATCAAATACAGTGAAAACAGGGGTTATACCATAGGGGAGGGACATACAAAGTAACAAAAACAAAAAAAAACAAAAAAAACACATGGCACCTTACAAATACATTAGAAGCAATAGCAAGAAAGAAAAAACCACTTGGTCCTTATCTTGAGGTTCATTTTACTTAACATCATCTTATCTGATCTTTTCTACTTCTCAGATATATACTAGTTATATACTAGTTATTGCAAATAAGGGGAGCCATGGGACCTTTTTTTTTTTTGGTTGGTCCTGGGGCCTGAACTCTAGGCCTGGGCACTGTCCCTCAACTCTTCAGCTCAAGGATAGTGCTCTACCACTTGAGCCACAATACCACTTCTGGCTTTTTCTGCTTATGTGGTGCTGAAGAATTGAACCCAGGGCCTCATGCATGCCAGGCAAGCACTCTACCACTGAGCCACCTTCCCAATCCCATGCATGATGAATTTCAAGTCAAGGTTTTCATGCAACAGTAACTTTACTAGGGGCTCCATACATTTGCCTCTTGAATGCAGTGTCATCTTGGATTATGCTTTTTTGTGTGTTTCTAAGGCCAAAGAACATGAACCTCTAAGGAGTGTCCGTGGCATTAGTATTAACTATGGAATTATGTTCCAGAGGGATTCTGTTACCATGTACTTTTAACCACACCTGAAATATATTCCTGGATGCTGAATAACTTGCAACTATGCTTTACTCTGGTTTACTTGTATATTTCATTTCAGTGAAGGAGAATTACTATCAAGTTCTTCCATAAAAATGACATGGTATAGTTCTCTATCTGGAACCCTCTTTTTGACAAATCTTGCTATCAAGAGTTTGGGTACAAAACAGAAATTGCGTTTGATGCTGATTCATCGCTTCTAGCATCTATCTGATCCATGAAGAATTGAAAACAAGAATCAATGTCAATGCTATTGACAATAGCCTTCCCAAAGTTTGAAAAGAAAAAAAACTAATTTGGGTCTCTGTGACAGCCAAAATTGAGTGAAAATTCACCATACATTTAACTATGAAGTCCTGCCATGGCTGGTTTTTGAATGTTGTAGTTAACACCTGTAGATTTCTCAGAACAAATGTTGCTCTTGAAATTTGAACTATTAATTGGAAAAAATGAAGATAACAAGGTATTTGACACTTGTTTATTCTGTACTGTTAATAATCCTGGTAATTTATCTTGCTTGTGGATTATATTGCAAAAAATGCCTGGTGTGGGAGACAAATAAAAGAATGCACAAAATGAGAAAAGAGGGGTAACTGTCTTCAAGATGCTTAAAGTTGAAAGTGCTCACTGGTGTATATAACCCTTCAATCTCATGATCTAGAAGTTTCTCTAATTCTGCTTATTACTGTTCAGTTGTTCAAAACTGTTTGCAGGTTCAAAAAATAGTATCTGCTCTTGTTTTTCTGGGAAGTCTTTTTCTTTCTTCCTTCCTTTTTTTTTTTTTTTTTTAAATAACAGACTAAGCAATCACTTAATCTGATTGAACAAATCAAGCCAGAAAAATCCTGACAGTGTACTGAACAAGACCTGTGTGGATAATGTGAGTTCTTTCTTTTCAATTTTAGAATCAACCTTGTCCTATGTTAGGCAGCTGGAGGCAAGAGTAAGACAGCTGGAAGAAGAAAATCGCATGCTACCCCAGGTGGGTGACTTCCAGAAGCTCATAGCTAGTCAGTGCCATTGGAGTTTAGCTTTCTTATTTGAAATGTAAAGTCTCAATTATGTGTTTTCCTTTCAATGGTAGACATCATTTTGTAAGTAGCCATTCATCATGTAGAGTATGTTAATTTTCACGACGGTCATCCTATTATCCAGATTTCCAGTGGGAACACTGGAGGATGTAAGTGTCCAAAATAAGCATGTGTACTAATTTTAAGAGGAGAATGGGAAATAATGACACTTTGGTAATACTTCCCATCTACATCATGCATGCAGTCAGTAGAGATAGGGGAGGGATTTACTTAAAAAAATGCTAATTTATGAGCCAGGTAAAGTTGGAGGAAGTTTGGAGTTTTCATATTTTAATTAAATTAGTACTTTCTAAAATTCTTTGTGACAAAATTGAGCTCTTTTAGTGCAACAAAGTATTGACAGTAACTGACAGTTTTTACTTGGGACTTTATTTCTTTTTTCCCCTGGTGAATATATATGGAACACTTTCTCTGGGATATTTAATACTTTGTCATATATTTCACTTACACAATTGTTTCTGTAGGATGGTAAATTGGGGAGAATCATGTTTCTGAAATGGTGGTTTTCCAAAATGTTTTGTTGAGGGCTTGAATACATCTACTGATTCTAGGGTTAGTTTCCTTAATAAATGTGAAGACATAAAATTTATTTTCATATCTGTGAGTTTTCTAAATCTTCTTTTCTTTTCACTTTAGGGTGGGTAGTTTTTATTTTATAAGTTACTAAGGGAAAATATATCTCATATCTAGTAAACAGGAAGAGAGGTTGTAAATACTTTTAAAATTCATTTTTAAAAACTAATTTTGATCATTAATGATTATTTTGGCTGCCATGTACCACATATAAAAAATACTTTCTTGCTGAGTGTCAGTGGCTCACGCCTATATTCCTAGCTACTCAGGAGGCTAGATCTGAGGATCATGGTTCAAAGCCAGCCCGGGCAGGAAACTCCGTGACACTCTTATCTCCAATAAAACACTCAGAAAACCGGAAGTGGCGCTGTGGCTCAAGTGGTAAAGTGCTCATCTTGAGCTGAAGAGCTGAGAGACAGCACCCAGGCCTAGAGTTCAAGCCCCACGACCAACTGACAAAAGAAAAAGAAGTACTTTCTCTCCTATCGAATAGCCAACTATTTGCCTAGAAATCATGGAATTAATAAAATGAATCTCCTCTTTCTCAATTTATTATATAAATGTAGGTATATATGTAAACTTATGATGAGGAAAAAGATTGTTTATGTTATTACATAGGATAATAATAATACAGAGTTTTCTTTCTTACCTTTCCCCCTTTTTCCTTTTCTATTTTCAAGTTGTTTTTTCTCTTCATGTTGGATTCTTGCTATGGTTTTATAGGACTCTTGATATAAGACATGGCTGTGCCATTTTTTTAGGCAGCAAGGAGTATCAAAGAAAAGAAACAAGAACAAGCTTATAAACAATACACTAATTTCTCTAAGATTTGAGGGTTGTATCAACCATTGAAATGTAGCATGTATGTCATTTTATTAAAAACAGATAGGAAAAGGACAAGTTTGATTTTTAAAGATCTGTAGCATTGTTAAAATTGTGGAAGGAAACCTGAATAGCCCTCAGCTGTATTGACATTATCTATTTAAGACAGTACTGTAATGCTTGCAAAGTTAAAACTAGAAGAGATTAAATAGTGATTATCAAGTTCAACTGGTCAATGGTATTCTTTTAACCACATTGCTATTTTTCTGTCAGTTTTTTTTTTGTTTAGTTTTTCCCTTCCAGAAATGGCAAAGAAAGATTGTGAAATGCCATGATTGTATATATCATTTCAAAAGAGAAAAGATAATATACCATGTTGGATTCTTGCTTATATCAGAGATATTAAAAATGGAGAAAGTGTTTTAGATTTAGTTAAACATTCATTTATATTATCAATGTAACTTAGTGCAAAAGAAATTCACTATTTGAAATATGCTATTAAGATACAGAAATACCGTAATAGGTCTCAGCTTTAAAAGAATATTTGCTAAATTTTTAATACTACAATAAGTTGACTATTGTCTTCATTTACAGCTAAGATAGATATGATAGCACGACTATTCACAACTACTTTTATAAGTTCAAACGAACATGAACATCAACATAATGAGATCCTAGGATTAAACCCAGTAAAGAGATCTCAGAGCAATGAAAATCATTTAATGGACACCCATATGACAGACTGAGACCTGGCCTAGAAAACACAAGTCATGTACAACTGGTTCAGAAATTATTTGTACTATTACAAAGAAGGTCTGATGAGTTTTCCCTATAGAGACTATTTCTGACTGTTCAGTGTTAGTTACAAGGTCAATTCAGTGCTACATGCTGACATTCCTGAATAAATTAGTCTCAGTATTTGAACACTTGATTTTCAATTATGAGAGATTGCTCACTGTGCCTTGATTAGAAAGTTTTTTGGTTTTTTTAAAATCCCAAATCTTTAGAAGTGTGTCAGTTTCCCCCAGAATATAATTAGCAATTTGAATAGTAAGTATATCAGGTATTTTTATTTATTTATTTTTTATTGTGAAAAATACCGTACAGAGGGGTGACAATTACATGGGCAAAGTAATGAGTACATTTCTTATCAAGCATTGTTACCTCCTTCTTTGTTTCCCCTTCCCGTCTCCCGCACCGTCCCGCCCCCCTTCTCCCACCATGCCAAAGTTGAAAAGTTCGTTTTTCGACATAACGTCTTGTACATGTCATTGTTGCAATGAGGCCACCTGTATCCCTATTTAAACAATTTCTTTTTTCCCTTCTCCTCCACAAATTATACCAACATTTTTTTTTTTTAGTATTAATTATCTTTTGTGGCCAGTTCCAGGTTCTCTGCTGATAGTAAAAGCAATTTTTGAGGAAGGTATCTCCTCTCAGAATCCTTGTATTGTGTATAATGATGAGAAAGGCACAACCTTGCCTTAGCAGCATACATGTTTAAAAATAAACCAGGTGGAATGGGTGCTTTTTGTTTCTTTCTGGTCAGGGGAAATTGCTCAATTGTAGATGAAGTTCTTTTCAGCTCTCGTAGTTTGTGCTCCCAGGTGTAAATAATGGCTTTCTGTCTTGCATCGGTCAGAACAGTGGTAAAGGTTGAGCTGATTCTTCCCAGTGGTAAGAAGGGCCCATGGAAGTGTGGTGGGATTTCAGTGCTCCAGGAAGGCCAGGTCATCCCACAGTAAGAACAGTTTTGTTAGTTGTAGAAACGGCAGTATTATTGGCTGGATATTTTATTTCACAAGAAATACCTCTTTTAAAAGTTGATAAAAAATAAAGATCTCCTTCCTCAAGGAAATAAACAGATGTGAACATTTTTTAATGACCACATTTAAAAATATTTAAGAAGGTAGCATATAATCCCATTTTTCTACAGTACTCAAACTGGTCTATTTCACTACACAAATACTTGAGGTGATGTGAACCCCAAATGAAGATCACATGTTATTCCAATATAGGTAAATGCTACCTATGGTGTTACCAACTTTGATTCCAAAAATATAGAATCACCCACAATAACATAAATGCCACTTATAAATAACATTGTATATGATATAATGTTTTAGTTCTGATACATTTTATGTTAAAAAAGGATATACTTGTTTTTTAAATATACTTAAGTATAAACACATTTTTCTGGATACAAAGTTACGGATTTTTTTCAGAGCTGAGTAGAATCTTACAGATCTCATAACACAACCCCTTTTCTAGTGAAGGCATATATCAGGTTCACAGAGGTTAGGGGTATTAAAGTGGTTGACAGCTAATTAAGGATGGATTCCCACCAAGATATAACCTGAGCTTATGTTCTTTTAGCATTATGCACAGTGCCTTCTGCAATCATTTAACACCATTAATGCAATTCAGTGTAATAAGCTACTAAAGCTATTTTTAACTTGTCAAATTCATTTCTTTCAACATTTATCTTAAAGTTGTATGTATGTATCAATCTAAGATTTGTTAATCATTCATTCTGTTCATGCCTAATGCTGGGCTTTTTTTTTTTTTTTCATTTGTGATGGATACCATTGCTGTTTTTCTTGAGGTAATGGTGTCTGTCACAAATGATAGGGCTATGTTATTCCTTCCTGACACTTTCTAAAATAATACTTCAGAATCATAAAGTTGTCTTGCACACTCACAGATATTCACATCTACATGGAAAATTCACATGTAACAGAACATGGTCATAGAGAAGGCTTTCTGTTCAGAGTGAACTGTAGGTGGGAGGTAGACTGATAGAGCAGAGCTTTTAATATTGAATTTTGAAGATGGAGATGTGATTGGTTAGTCCACATACAATTCCTTGGTTAGATCTCTCTGTTCATTGCATTGTGTTTTGCTTGATGTCATAGGGATTTATTAATCCAGATAGAGCTAATGTTTACATACTCTACATGGAGTGAAGAATTCTATTTAATTAAAAAGATTCTTTCAATTTTGGATGATGTATTATTATAAAAAACAGTGCTACCCTTTGAAGACTTTAGATATATGCCTGAAGTAAGTCAGTAATCATGTTTAAACTCATCTCACCTATTCCACATTTATTTTTGGGTTTTGCATCATGAACAGGGCAGGAGACATGAAGCAAACTGTTTGCTGCTGGTCCAGAGTCAATTAAGAACATTTATGAAGAGTCCTACTGGGAAATCTATTCCTTTTGATCAAACGCTCTGGCAGCAACATCTGCTTGGCAAACACAATGTGTACGTTGCCCCTTGGAGGCCCTTCCTGAAACACACCCCCCCGCCCCTGAGACCAACATTTGAGGGCTGCTTTTCAGAATCAGTAAGGGCTGGGAATTGCCAGGTGTCCTGTGCCTGCCCACCTGCCCCTGTGCAGGACTCCTGGAGACCCTTTTGAAAGGCCTGGCAATTGGGATCTCCACTGAGTGGGCCCTCTCAGCAAGTGTTGCTATTTCTGTGCTGTTAGC